CTCGGAAGGCCGCCCGCAGAAGGGTTCCGCAAATGCCTAACCAGACACTGCCTCCTGGCATCGTCGGCGCCTCGTTGACGCGGCAGCATGTTGTACCTGGCGAGGAGCGCCTCCGGCCACCGGTTTAGGAACTGTCGCTGGTAGGCAGTAAATGCGAGGTGCACCAAGTCGTTCCCACGCCTGTCAGCATGTACTCGCGCAAACCATCTGAATTCACCTCGGTGCCCATCTCTACCATTGAGTTCTGGAGATGCTCGTGTGGAGACCGCAGCGCGGACATGGCACATCTGGGCGCCATGACGTTAATGATCACCCTTGGCGGCCAGAGCAAGAGACTGATTCTCTGGCCCAAACTTCGGCGGTGCGGGCGAAGATGCCTGTAATGATGGCAATGACCACCCTCTGCGCACCCGCTATGGTGGCGAGAAGATGCCACGCCTGCGATGGCCTGGACGACTGGCTCGGATGGCGGCCGTGCTAAGTGACCACCCCCTGCGCACCCCTATGTCGAGAAAGTGGCACGCTTGTTATGCCTTGGACGACTGGTTCGGATAGCGGCCGCGTTCGGGGACCACCCCTTGCGCACCCCTTAATTGTGTCGAGCAAATGCCACGCTTGCTGTGGACGACCGGCTCGGATAGCGGCCGCGTTCGGGGACCACCCTTTGCGCACCCCCTACGGTGCCGAGAAAGTGCCACGCCTGCTATGCCCTGGTCGACTTGCTCGGATAGCGGCCGCGCTCGGGGACCACCCTTTGCGCACCCCGTTTCGTGTCGGGTGCCACGCCTGTAATGCTCTGGTCGACCAGCTCGGATACCGGATCCGCTGAGGGACCACCCCCAGCGCACCCTGTATGGTGTAGAAAGTGCCACGCTTGCTATGCTCGGGACGACCTGTTCGGATGGCGGCCGCCTTCGGGGACCCCCCCTGTGCACCATTTTCTGGTGTCGAAAAAACGCTGCCCCTGACATTCGCTGCGAATCCTACACGTATGTCTTGCATATAACGTGTCATGTGTATGTGTATGATACGTGCGCGGTCATATCTGGACGTGCGTCTCATGTGGGTGCCCAGCATGTGGCGCTTACGTCTTGGAGTCAACGCGTCAGGCGCTCGCACGAACGTTGTATGGTGTGTGTGTGCGAGTGTGTGCATGCGAGCGGCTGGATGTAGACGCGTGTCTCATGTACGTGCCGTGCATGTGTTGCGCGTGGGTGAATGGAGGAAGGAAGAGGAGGAGGGGAAAGGGAGGCGATGTGTGATCTTCCCGGGTGGACAAGTCATCACGCCAGGCGCGCATTGGCGTTGTATGGTGCGTCTGTGCGCGAGTGTGTGCATGCGTGCGGCTGTATGTAGACGCACGTCTCGTGTGCGTGCCGTGCATGTGTTGCGCGCAGGTGAGGGGAGAAGAGAAGAGGAGGAGGGGAAGAAGGAGGAGAAGGGGAGGAGGAAAACATGACGCGGATGCGACGCGGCAGGGCAGAATACCAGCACCCCACGAAGCAGGTGTGGAACAAGAACACTTTCGAACCTCAATTCTCGAATTTGGACGATGGCCAGTTCCCCAGACGCTTCCGCAGGTGCGAAAATATCACGCAGCAAACTGGAGCCTCGATCCTCGACGCCGACGACGACGGAGACGACGACGGAGACGACGACGACGACGAGGACGACGATGACGACGACGACGACGACGACGACGACGACGACGACGACGACGACGGAGACGACGAAGACGACGACGATCGACGACGACGACGACTACGACGACGACGACGCCAATGCCCACGCCGACGCGACGACGTCGACGACGCCGACTCCGACTCCGACGACGAAGACGACGACAACGACGACGACGACGAAAACGACGACGACCACGCCCCCGCGGCCGCGCCCAAGGCGGCCGCCTCGGGCCGCAGCAGCGCCCGGAGAACAGGCGCGGCCAGTGGGCGTGGCCGCGGTGCCGCCCGCGGCTTCCAGCCAGCCATGGTGGGGCGGGTTCGCCGTCGCTGTCGCCTCGAGCATCGAGAGCCGCTTCCGATCCGGGCGTTGCAAGTTGTTCAGAAGTTGGCGTTTTCGAGTAGTCTCGGGCCCCGGGGTCCTCACAGACCCGTCAGTTTTTTTGCATGGCGCAGAATGGTACGGTCCAGGTCTCCGGTCGTGATTTTGTTTGAGCTGTTCTACTTTGTTGTTGTACCGGCTGATCAGAGGGCCCGGCGGTGTGTTCCTCCATAACGTCGCTTTTCCTTGACATCGGCTGCTGGGGTTCGCTACCGGACCCGGGGGCCATCAGAACCAGATCCGGGACGAAAGATTACCCCATGGGGGCGAGGTCTGGAAATCTGCGGCCGCGGATGGTGGGCTTGTTCTCCACCACCACCACCACCATAAGTTGGAGGGCGAAGGATTTGGAGGAGGAGCAGGAGGAGGAGGAGGAGGAGGAGGAGGAGGAGGACCCCCTCCCCCTCCTGGTGGTGGCGGTGGGCAACAAGCCCGCCAGCGGATTGGACCAGTCGTGCCGCCGGATGTCTGGGGCTCCGGGCTCTGGGCCGACGGTCGGCCTCCGGAGGCGTCCGGGCACCTTCCGCGGCGGAGCCCCCCGCGCGGCTCGAGGAGAAGGCGCCGGGCCGCCCGCCACTCGAGGAGAGCGTCGCCCTGACTCCGGATCCGCCCTACACCTTAGGCGATGCTCAAGAAAACTTCAGTTTTCGGCCAGAGCCTCGATGATTCTTAATGTCTCAATATTTAGTTCCTAAGATGTTGATAGAAATTCGGGGTTGAAATTAAATTCTGAGAGTATGAATTTCTTAACCCATGATTTCTTAGGCATTTCGCAGGGTGCACTTTGGGGAAATTCGTAAGTGGGGCTTGGAATTTCCGCCTTACTTTTCAAGCCCCGCCGATGCCAAGTTCCGCCCTACTTTTCTGTTGCCGTTTCTGTGGATTTCCGCCCTATTCTATGTTGGCTGCAGCAATTTCCGCCCTACTTTTTCGGCCTCTTATAGGTGGATTTCCGACGCAATTGTAAGTTGGAAAAAAAGCCAAAGTAGGGCGGATCCGGAGTCAGGGCGGGGGGTGAGAAGCAGTCGGCACGAGCGAACTGGGTACGGAAAGGCGGGGTACGATGCCCAACGGCGGTTCCTGTTCATTTTGAACAGGACTCGCTGTCGTTGTCGCCGCGGCCTGTGTACATTTGAGACAGAAGGCCGCTTGCCCAACAGCGGCCGCTGCTGGTTTGGGACGACATTTGTTGCTGGGCATTGTGCCCATTTTTTCCTTACCCATTTCGGGCGTCCAGAAAAAGGTGCCCCTGGCGCAAGGTGTCCCCCGCTTGCCGCTCCATTTTGGGGGCCCCCCGGGGATGGGATCGGGAGCAGGGCTTCAGTCCGGCCGATGCAAACGTAGCCAACAAGTATAGTCTGGGGACGATGTTTCAGTTATTTTTCTCCATGTGGGAGCTTTTTGTGAATCTTTTCAATTTTTCGTCGAACATCGGCCTGTGGGGGGACATGCCCGACCTGAAGCTAGGCGCGCTCGTCATGAAGAAATCGCAGGACAGCTTGCCGTGTGGGCTCCTCCGCCAACAGCACGGCGGCCACCATTGTCCATAGCGATTCGCGGCATCGCGTCCAGACTTGCCACTCGGCGGTTGTGAGACAGCGTTTGTCGGGTTGTTCAAAAAGGGGGTCCAGCGAAAAGGGGTGGGTGCAACAGATTTGGTGCAATAGATTTGTGGGGGTGCAAATTTGCGGCGTGCGCAAATGTATTGCTGGATTTTCGCGCGCAATGCATTAGTTGCATCACGATGCGAAACAATTCTCCAGCGCAATACATTTGCAATCCAATTGCCCCAAATATATTGCACCCCCCTTTTCAGCTGGACCCCCTTTTGAGCCACCCAAAGTTTCCAGGCAAACACAACAGGGACTGCAATTATCTTGCACAGTGTGTTACGTGCTCCAGCGGCTTTCTCTTCGGCGTGACGCTGCCTCCCCTCCGCCTTCCACCGCAGCCGCCAGCACGCCCCCTCCGCTCTGACTCCTTGATTTAGACACGGCACTGGTCCGCCTTCGGTCCCCCTCTAGACACAGCCAGCACACTTCCCCCTCCCCCGCCAGCCTGCCCACCCCATCCGCCCCGATTTCTTTCTTTAGCCTGGCTGACGCTAGGCTCGCCTCCCCCCCCTCCATTCCGCAGCCAACCCACCTCCCCCCCCACACACCAGCCAGCGCGCCCCCTCCGCTCCGACCCCACGGCACCCGCGCCGCGCGCGCCTCCCCACCCCTTCCCGCAGCCAACCCCACCTCCTCCCCCTCGCTTGCCAGCCAGAGCGCCCGCTCCGCCCCGACTTTTTTTGTTGCCACCAGCGCCGCGCGCGCCTCCCTCCCCCCCCCGCTGCAGCGCGCCCCCTCCGCCCCGACCCGTTCATTCTGGCACGGCGCTGGCGCCGCGCACGCTTCCCCCCCCGCCCCCTAACGCAGCCAGCGCGCCTCCCCCTCCCTTGCCAGCCAGCGCGTCCACTTTGCCCCGACCTGCTTGTTCTGGCACGGCAATGGCGCCGCGCACGCCCCCTCTCCCACCCTCCCACTCTCCGCAGCCAGCCCGCCCCGACCCGCTCACATTTGGCACCGCGCTGGCGCCGCGCACGCCTCCCCCGCCGCTCCCTTTCGCAGCCACCGCGTCCTTCCGCAGCCAGCGCGCCCCCGCCGCCCTGGGCTGCGTCTTTTGCCACGGAACAGGCGCCGTCCCCCCTCTCCCTTCGCAGCCAGCCCGCCAACCCCTCCCTCCGCCCCGACCCGCTTATTTTGACACGGCACGGGCGCCGCCCGCGCCCCTCTCCCCCCTTCCGCAGCCAGCCCGCTTCCTCTTCCCCCACGAGCCAACGCGCCCCCTCCGCTCCGGCTTTTTTTGGGGGGGCACGGCATGGGCGCTGCGCGCGCCCCCCCCTTTCGCTGCCAGCCAGCGCGCCCCCTCCGCCCCATGCTCATTATCTTGGCACGGCGCTGGCGTTGCCCCCCCCCCCCCCCCCCTCCGCAGCCAGGCCAGCCCTCCTCTTCCTTCACCAGCCAGCGCGCCCCATCCGCCCCGAACCCCGTCTTTCTGCGCGGCACAACAGGCGCCGCGCAAGCCCTCTTTTTTTCCGCAGCCAGCGCACGACCTCCTCCCCCACCAGCCAGCACCCCCCCCTCCCCCCCTTCCGCAGCCAGCCCACCACCCCCTTCCCAACCAGCCAGCGCTCCCGACCCGCTGATTTTGGCAGGGCACCAGCGCCGCGCGCGCGCCCCCCCCCCCCACCCCCCCTCCCTCCGTTCTGCAGCCAGCCCACCAGATCTTCCCCCACCAGCCATAGCGCTTTGTACTGCGCCTGCTCCGTGCTCCCGCACATCCTTCCCGCGAGCTAGCCGCCCGCGTGGGCGAGGTGGGCTGCTCCTCCTTGACCCGCTGCCTCGCGGCTTGCGCCCTCTCTTCAGCTTCCTGCTTGGTTCAAGACTCGAGCGCGCCGACGAAGGGCTGGAGCTCCCTCCCGCCGTAGATGACCCCAGGGCAAAGGCCGCCCTCTGGCAGAGCTGGCGTCCAGACTTCGAACGCCCGGTGGAGGCCCCAAGGCCGCGCCTTGACCGAGGGCGCCATCAGTGTTCGAGGAGGGGCGACCACTTCCCCCCCGTGGGCTTCGGGGGGCGCCTCGCGCCTGGGTGGCGAGGCGCCTCGCCCTCCTCGCCCCCCCTGGCTCACAAGGGGCCTGTGGGCGAGGTCCTGGCCGCATGCGGCGCAGCGCTCGTCCCAATGGTTTTCCGGGCGCACACAGCGCGGGCACCGCCTGTCCCCGCTGTCGGGCGGGGCCATCCCTGCCCGCCGCCCGTCTGTCTCCGGCCGACCCGCCTGGTCCTCCAGAGCGCCCGCTCGCATCCGAGCGAACTCGCCACGTGGGTCCTGGGGGCGCGCCCGGCACGCCGCGAGCCACCAGCCTGCCGCAGGCCGCGCCCTCGCGGCTGAGCGAGCAGACGCCTGCCATTCTGCGCTGGTCCTGACCCCGCGCCCACTGGAGCCGGAGCTGCGCCAGCGCCCCCGTCGAGCATCGCCTTCGCCGGCTGCGGCGGGGCTGAGCGAACCGCCCGCACGAGGGTCTCCGCCTTGGCGCCGTCAGCGGCTGCCCGGCGAAAGGCGGCCAACGTGCCCCCTGGGCCCCCTCGGGCCCGAACTGCCAGACGCCCGGGAGGGGCCCCCGAGAGTCCAGGGCGAGGATGCGGCTTCCTGGCGCGCCATCGGCCGTCGCGCGCTTCAGGCCTGGCGCCAGGCCCTCGTTGGAGTAGATGATCTCTTTGGCTCCTCCGTCCCTGGGGTGCCAATTCCCGCAGGGCCTGGCTCCGCTCGGTCCTCCTCTCGTGGGCGTGCGCGGGCCCGAGATCACCGCGCCGCCCTGCGCCTGGAGCCTGGCCGCCTCTGGCCGCGCCTCCCCGAGGCGCTCCCGGATGCTCAAAGGCTCGACGCACTCCCGGCCCAGGCTGGTTGGCGCGCCTCCTCCCCGGGCCGCGACCGCAGCCTTCAGCGCCGCGCGGTGGCGCCCCCTAGTGCCGCGCGGCAGATCTCGACTTCCCTGGCCCGCCGAAGCTCCTCGCTCGCGGGGCTCAGCTTCGCCGCCCCTGGGCCGTCTGCAACTGCCGCTCCTGCTCCGGCACGCAGCACGCAGCGCGAACTCTACCCAGCGCCTCGCCTCTTCGCCGTCGTCGTTCGCGAGGCTCGCCAAGACGATGTCCACCGCGCCCCCGCCGTGGGCTGTCCACTCGGCGACCCCCGGCGGCCAGAGCGCGCGGCCCGGGGTGGGCGCCTCCGCTGCCCCTTGCGCCCGCGCGATGGCGCCGCGCTTGGCGCCCGCCTTGCGCAGCGCCCCCAAGGCGCCGCGCCGCTCGATGATCGCGACTGCTTCGGCCAGTGCCATCTTGAGCTCTCGCGGGCGGTTCGGCCCCCTCCTGGCTGCCGACAGCTGCTGCGCCACCCTCGCGCCCTCGTCGCTCTGGCCCTCCCAGATCAGCATGCGACGCAGCCGGCCTCGCTCCATGTGCCTGGCCCAGCTGTCCTTGAGTCTGACGACCTCGAGGCCCCCCGCCTCTGCTATCGCCGCGGCCTCCACCTCGGCCACGCGGGAGAACGCGTCGGCTGCGACGTCGGCGGAAATAGGCGCTGGCGACCTCGTAGCCGTAGACGGCATCCAGGCACGTGACCACGGCAATCAAGGAGCTGGCGTAGCGATAATTGGCCTGCCTGTTCTGGGGCCAGCAGTGGACGATGCACTTGTCGCCGCCGTGCATGATCACACCCTGCTCCCACCAACCCTCTGCGCCTGCCTTCGCGACAATGGTGGCGAGGTTCATGAATTCCGCCATCGCTATGATGGCCTCTTCTTCCTCCTCAGCTCCTATGGCCTCGCGGAGGGTGCCCATGATCTCGGGCAATGAGTGGAGCGCGCATTGGGAGTTGACCCAGGCCACGGTCGCGATGCGTTCGAGCGCGGTGTGAGGCCGAGGAGCCGGGTTTTCTCTAGGATAGACGTAAGAGTGACCACCGAGGCCGGCCCCACGTTCTATGGCGGCAGCGGCGACGGCGCCCTCGAGTCGACCAGGCGTCAGGGTGTGGCCTCTCGCTGGAGGGGCCTCCGGTGCGGGCCCGCTCGGGGGCCCCGATCGCCGAGCGCGATGCGGCAGCAGCGCCCTGCTCGCCCGGGCTGGGCCCTCCCGCGGCCCGCGGCTCCTCGAACGCCGCGCACCGGAGGTCACTCTTGCCTAGGGTCAAGTCGGGCATGTCCCTCTACAGGAGGGACATCCAAACATAGTCTAACAGAACTATATCGGGTACCGTGTTTCGACTATGGGTGGCAATGTTTGATCGCGTGATGGCTATTTTTCACGCGCCCTCCAAAACTCGCCTGCAGGAGGATATGCCCGACCTAAACCAATGGTCACTCTTGCCTAGGGCCACGCTTGCTTGTAGCCGAGCAGCGGCGACGGCGCCCTTGAGATCCGACGCTGCGGAGCAAACATGCAGCATCGGGAAGAATCGGGCCTGGAGCCCTGGACCCCACCTCTTTCTGCAGCACGCGCCTGGTCCGGACCGATCTGTGACGGTCCGGGGTCCCGAAAGCGGCGAAAACGCCTGGTGCGCAACAGAGTGCAGCACTCTGATCTCAGAGGACGGCGGCGGTGGCGAGAGCGGCGGCAGGTTGTCCTTAGGAGCCTGGTGGATACCTCCTGGAGTCACCCTGGAAGGGTTCGCGCATCAGCATCCTAGATGTCCCGTGCGACGGATCCTCGCGCAGTTTTTTCACTGTCGAGCTGCAACTCAGTGTGTCCCATTGCGGAGCGCTTCCCACAGCAGACCGACGAGCTACGGTGAAATTTATTCTCGGTTCTGAACAACGGAGCAGCCCCGCGGTGCGAGCGCGTCGATCCTTTAGCAAGCAGCAACGACGGGGGAGGCCCCGAGGGCACAAGGGCGAGCAGGGGGCCACGCAAAGCAGCGAGAGGCGATCGGCGCACGCCCCAGCTTCCGCAAGCGGGAGCAGGGAGCGCACCGCTCACCAACCCGCCGCGAGGAATAGCACCCCAGTTGGACACCGCTGGCGGCGGAGGGTGGCGGGCGGCGGCGGCGGCCCCTCGCGGGCCTCCAGGGCTACTGGGACGCCTACGGCGCGGCCCTCGGCGGCTGGGGCGCCCCGCCCACCGGCGCCGGGCTCGACAGCAGCTACCCGGCGTACGCAGGCGACCGCGGGCCGCCCCCGCCTCTCGAAGAAAAAACACCATAAGCATGAGTTTTGTTGGCGCTCTGCGCGGATTTCTCGGATCCGCGCTGCCCCCCCGGCGGCGCCTGCGGAGCCGCCGGGGGTGGCCCAGCGGGGATCCGCGCGGAGCGCCAAAAGTCTTGTTTATGTTTTTTCTTCTTCTTCTTCTTCTAGCCACCATCGTCATCGTCGTCGCCGCCGCCGCTGTCGTCGTCGATGTCGCCGAGGATCGCAACAGAGATTGCCCCCCCAAAGCAGCCGGATACAAAGCAAATGTGAGGACGCTTGCCGAGGAGTAGGAGGTCCAGATGCGGCCGTATGCTCCCTGTTGTATACTTTACCAGAAGTCGTGACCGTGCAGACTAAAATTGCAGCCGGCATTGGGGCGACAGCACAATCCCTCAATAATTTGTAAGGAAGTCTGGGGCCAAACCACTGCCAGACCGGGCGTTCTCACGCTCCCCGTCCCCCGTGTGGGGTTCTCCTGTGGTCCTTCCTTACCTCGGTTAGAACTCTCCAGCGAAACGCTAGTAGGGAATCATTGCATAATCTGTTGGAGGTCCGCGCGGATTTGTCGGATCGGCGCTGGAAGGACCCCCTTGAGGCGCCTCTGGCGCCGCCCTTGGCGCGCGCCGATGCAAGAAATCCGCGCGGACCTCCAAAAGGTTATGATTCTGCTTATTGTGAAGGCCTGATGGCCGGTGCCGCCGACCTTGAAAGACATCGACGACGACCAGGGGGGAGAGGAGGAGGAAGAGGAGGAGGAGGAGGAGGAGGCGAAGGTACGGAGGAGGAGGAGGAAAAGGACTCCCCCCTGTGGGCCCCAGGTTATGATTCTGCTTTATTTATTCTTCCAGAGGGCATGGACGTCTTTGGGTTCTCCTGGGTCGCCCGCGTCGCGACGGCTCTGGGTCGGCCCCTCTGCGCTGCTCATGTCGGAGGGAGATGTCTGTCATCTGGAGGTTTCTTTTAGAGGCGTGGCCCTCCTCCTCCTTCTCCTCCTCTTCCTCATGGGGGAGGACGAGGGACAACTCAGTTGCTCAACACTGGTCGGAGGTCAGATACGGGCAGTGTTTTAGCACCGGCCCTGGTTAGAATACGCACGGTATGCCTTCTCATCCGTGGGAGTCCTGAGACCGTCTGCGCGACTCAGTTGGGGGGCACTCCGGTTGCACTGGCCTGCTGAGGTTTTTCCTTCACCTCCTCTATCCTCATACAGTGGAGACCCATGCCAAGAAACACCCTGCTTGCCTCCAGGGTGCCCTGGGTCTCTGGAGCTTCGATGGTTTCGCTGTGGACAGCGCGACGCTCCCACACCAATAATCAATGGACGTCCTCGGGTCTCAGGATGGGTTTCTTGTGGAAGGTTTCTTGTGGGCTGGCCTCCATTGTATTTTCTTCTCCTAACATGTCCTCCACTCTTCGCTCGCCGTTGTCGGCCGCAGCTGGGCCCCCTTGGGGCACCATGAGGTGGTTCAAGAGGCGGCTTGGTATTCGTTGTTGGGCAAGACTTGTGTGTGTGTGTGTGTTGTTCCCTTGTGGTCTTTCGGGGAACATGCGTCGATAGTCGTCTCCTGAGGATGTTCGGGGAAGCTACCCTGGATAACAGGTAATCCGGATGTTGTTGCAAGCTCTCGCACAGGCTCAATATCACCCCCTTCCCGTTCATGTCAAGAACCGTTTTCTCGGATAGGGTCTTTGCAGCAGCCAGCGGCGAGGCGAAAGCTCGATTTCTGACTAAATGTTGGACCATGTCCAAGGCGAGAACTGTGTGCCTGAGTGGCGAGAGCGCATTTCCTGACCAAGTTGCACATAGCTTTGAGCCAGAATGCGGCGCTGGCGTAAACTCATTGTCAGGAATGCCTCGACGAGATCGCGGTTTCTGAGTAGTGTGGGGAGGTGCCAAGCGAGGGTGCGGGTCCTCAGCGACGAGAACGTGATCTTTGAATCAGTTGTCAGACAGTGTGTGGCCAGATCGCGATTGTTGAGTAAAGTGTGGGGTGTCTTGAGCGAGGGGTCTGGATAAACTTGGAGGAATTGTCTGGCGGCAGCTGTTGTTGGTCTGCGGGGAGGAGCTCTGTGTTCTGATAGAGTAAGCCCTACGCTCGAGCGGGAGCGCCCTGGGCATCTCATGTAGACCGCACATGGTTTTCATGTGGGAGTGACTTGTCATCGTGTTTGGTACATGTGCAGTGGCATCAGCAGCACCGGCAGCAGCGGCACGGAGTACCAGTTCTATTGCCCACTGCAGCACTGATCATGCAAATTAGCCAGATCGAAAGAGAAGATAAAGCCGAAGGATCAGCACTGGGAGGCGAATCGGCGGCGGCAAAGGCCGTGGCAGCAGCGAGAGCAGCGGCAGCGGCAGCATAGGCAGTGGGAGCATGTGGTATCTATTTGGAGAAGGAGGTCGTCGTCGTCGTCGTGGTCAAGTCCGACGCCGCCGTCGTCGTCGTGCTCAGAGCTGTGCTGGCTGCAGCCTTGCGCGATCGCTGGCCAGCGCAGCCATGGCCGCTGCACCGACGGCGCCTATGCATGCGGCACCTGTCAGTCCAGAGGCGGAGACACAGACACTCATCTCCCGATGCTCAAGAAAAGTATCCGGTCCGCTGGCTACTCCCTGCGATTTTCATCAAGTTGCCCTCAGGAACCTTAGGTTCGACGATGAAGCTCTCCTGCGCGGAACGTTCTCCACGGACGCGCTGAGACATTGGGGAGCAATTCTCGACGTCAACAATGGAGGCGGTGATTGGTACAGCCTGTCAGAGCCCGCCGATCACGTGGACGTATTCGTATCCCATAATTGGTCCAACTCTCGGGCCGATAAGTTCTTGATTCTGGCGCTTCACTTCAATCTGAGGCCAGCAGTTTTCAGCACAGTATTGGTTATTTTTGCAGTAGCTCCTCTCTCAGTGGCTGGAGTTCTACCAACGACTGTGTTCACAGACCCTGACGGAAGAAGGATGCTGGAGGCTGCACCAACGGTCGATAGCCCAGGGGACAGCAGCACCACCATTCTAGGTCGCTCCAAGCATACATCGTTCGTTTGTTCATTCTTCCAGGGTTGCCTGAAATTCCAGGGCCAGTTGGCCTTTACGTGCAATCGTTTTACCTTTTTCGCTCTCGGAGGGGTTTCAACCAGTCACGTTGAGAAATGAACGTTGCTCGAGGAGCTAGACAATGGACGCCCAGGTAGAATCTACATATGCTTCTCTAATGGGCTATTCACCCTTGCCGCAACTCCCAGGATGGGGCCATGGTGTCAGGTGTTCGGTTTGGCAACTTTTCTGTTTACTTTGTCATGTTGGCAGGAGATTTGCAGACTACGCCCATGTCGTGGAAAGATGCTTTTCCTGGACAGGACATGCATACACCAAACCGATGATCTTCTCAGGCAGCGTGGCATCGAGCATATTGCTGCGTTCTTGTACTTTTCGTGGAGCTTGTTGGTTTGTTATTCCGATGAGTACCTCCAGAAGCTGTGGACCGTGTACGAGGTTTCGGCCTTCATGCTGTTGCACCCTGGGAGTGCTATGCATGTCAGGCATGCGTGGTTCACCAAATGTCTCATATCTGGTATTGTTATTGTGTTTCTCTTAAACATGGTTTGGCACATACTGTATATACACCATGGCACTTGGGGCTCACTGTCGATCGGGAGGGTGAGCTTATATCTGACAGCGATATGTTCGGTGCCAGCATCAGTCGCAATTGGAGTTATGGTGCTGAAGCTTGCACGGGTACGGATGCGTTCTTGACGCTTCGCGTATACCCACCAGCGTGGTTCATCCCACCAGCCCTCTGGGCGTCGGTGGTTTAGGGAGTTTCTTCTTCCACCCCTTCGTGTTCCCCTTCGGGGAGGAGTGTATCATTGTTCCCTATTAATATACACCCCCTCCCCCAGGGGACTGGGAGCCAACCCAGGTCCATGCGGCCCCCCCATCATCCTTTGTAAACACAGTACAAAACACACTCTGTCGCCACCATCCCCTGTAAAAACAATACAAAACACACTCTGTCTCCAAATTCGGAGCATGCGCAGCGAACCCGATGCGGCCTCCCCACACCATCCCTGTCAAACAACAATACAGAGTACACTTGGCGGCGGCGGCGACTGCGGCGGCTGCGGCCGTGGCGGCGGCGGAGGCGGCGGCGGCGGCGGGGGAGGCGGCGGCGGCGGCGGCGGCGGCGGTGGCAGCGGTGGCGGCAGCGACTGCGGCGGCAGCGGCTGCGGCGGCGGGGCTTGGGCAGCGGCGGCGGCGACGGACAGCGGCGGCGGCGGCGGCGGGCGGCGTGCGGCGGCGGCGGCGGCGGATTGGCCCCCAGTAGCCGGCCATCCAAAGACGATTGCTGCGTATGCTGCGGCTCGGGCCAGGCTCGGGTGCTACGTATGTGTTGGGAGGGCGGGTGGGAGTGAACGAGGCGGCTTGCGGGCGGGGGCGGGGAGGGAAACCCCCTCTCTTGGACCTGGGCAGGGGGTTCCGCGAGGTGTCGGAGCGTCCAAAACGACTTCGGCGAGGAAACCAAAATCATTGGTTTCACTGTAGTTTTGGCCTTATTTTGGCCTCCTGAAAGGGGGGGGGGAGGGGGGGGCTAATTAGACGCCCCCCCTCCTGTGATCGATACCGCCCACGATGGCCCAAAGATGGCCCCCAAGGCTCCCAGGGGTGCCCCAAGAGGGCCCCAAGAGGTGGCCAGGAAACCCCAAGAGGCCCTCAGGATGCCCCCGAAGGCTCCCAAGGGACTACCAAGAGGCCCCAAACGACCCCCCAGAGGCACCCACGATTCTCCAAGAGGCCCCGACGAGAATGCAACACAATTGATTATACCAAGAGGTTGGCCACATGTTGGCCTCTTGGGGGGGCACTGATTAAGATGACTCCAAGAGCGCCTGGGAGAGCCCAAGATGACCTCCAAGATGGTTCAAGAATCCCCAAGCTGTCTCATAATGGTTCCCACGGTGCTCCAAGCTGCCCCAAGACCTCGCCAAGGCGGCTCCCAGTGGCCAAAGAGACCCCCCAGGAGGCCCCGAAGATGCCAACACCTTAGGACAGTATATGTCTTTGGCTTTATCGAAATTTCGCTTCCGATGGCCATCCGAGGCCTCAGGATGGCTCCAAGATGGCCCAAGAGGGCTCTAGGAGAGGCTCCAGAGAGCCCCAAGACGGCCCCAAGAGCGCCCCAAGAGCGCCCCAAGAACGCCCCAAGAGCGCCCCAAGAGGCGATGGTTTGGGCTCCCGAGGGGCATCGCTAACTAATGCCTTCTTCCTGTTTGATCGGTGCCCCCCAAGATGGCCCCACGAGCGCCGCCAAGGCCCCCAAGAGCGCTTCCAGAGGGCCCCGCGAGGCGCCCAGGAGGCCCCACCAGGCGCCCAAGAGGCCTCCAAGATGCCCCCAAGAGGCCCCCAAGAAACCCCACGAAACTCTCTAAGGCACCCGAGGCGTTCCAAGAGGCCTCCACTGGGGGACCTTTCCTCTGTGTCCTGCCCACTTCCCTGATCGAGGCAACTCCTCTGGGCATCGTTTCTGGATGGGCTGGTGGGGCTACGCGAAGCGTCTAGAATTTAGTGTTTGGTTCGGTTGCCTTGTTACTTTCGGCGCGCGGTCGGGCCGTGACGCTTGCGAACAACAAATACCCACCAGCAAAATCGAAGGAGTGATCAGTCCTAGCTCTAGACGCTGAGTCTAGTAACGTACGTCGTCGTTCATCGCAGAAGTGATATGGTGTTATCTTGTGGCGTCTTGGATGTAAGGAGGGGGCCATCACGCCCCCACCCCGTTAGAGCCAGAAAAACAAAACAATTAGTTTGCGTCGAGTGGTCCCCGTCGAAACTTTCAGCGTGTGTTCTGACGGCGCGCGGTGGCCTTATTGGTGGAACGCCGCGCGTTCTGAGTTGTTCGCATGGTTTGATGTGATATGTCTTGTTTTCTCGTGGTACCTCTCTCCACCCCTGCGCAACTGCCGCTTCTGGAATCCAAAACGGGTCAACCGTGTTTCATGTATTCGCGCTGTTTCATGTTATGATGTATTATGTATTGTTATGTTCTCGACGGACCAGCTTGATGTTGTGACGCCTGTCGCGTTAGACGCGTCGTCTGTTATGGTGTGGTATGTGCATTCATCTGTTGCTCTTCTGGTTGAGCATGTTGTGTTATGCTCATCTGTGTCGCCATATGCGTTGGGATGTGTTGGTCGGGTCTGCTCTGTGACACGCTCGTATGGCATGATATGTGTGTCACGTTATGTTATCGTGTGCTATTTTTCCGTGGTGCGTTTGGCCGCTCGGCTCAGCATCGTAGGCTACGACTCGCTCTGCTAGTCTGATTCGATACGTTTTACTGTCGCGCTATGATACGTTATGTGGTGCTGCCATGATGTGGTATGCCTGATTATATCATGGTGTGTTATGTGATTTCTCGGCTCTGGTATGGTATGTGTTATGTCGTCTTCTGTTCTGTCATGTGCTGCTCGCGTATGTCCTGTGATGTTATGCGATTCTCCATTTGTTACGGGAATGCTGTGTTATGTTGTGTCATGTTCTGTCATGCTCGTGTTCTGATATGCCATGTTGTGTTCTGTCGTCCTCGTCGTCGCTATGCTCTGCTGTCGTGTTATGATATGTTTTGTGATGATGTGTCATAGTATAGTCTCTGCTGCCAAAATGTATTAAGTTATGTTCGGTTATGTCATATCATGTTGTGCTATGGCCCCTTTTGTTGTGTGAAGTTCTGCTCTGGTCTTTCATGTGATAATATGTTATGATCTATGTTGTCATGGCGTATGCTATGTTCCGACATGGCCTGTCATGCTCGTGCTCGGTTCTGACATGGTACGTTGTGTCATTTTGTGTTCTGTCGTGTTCGTCGTCGCTGTGCTCTGCTGTCGAGTTATGATATGGCTTGTGATGGTGTGCCACGATATGATATTTCCTGTCAAGGTGTTTTACGTTATGCTCGGTTACGTCATGTCAGGTTGTGTTATTTCGTTTCATGATATGCCGTGTTCTGCTGTTATGTTCTATTGTCCATGCTATTGACATGTTATGTTCTGTCATGTTATGTGATGCTCTGTTCCATTCTGGCATGTTTTGTTCTGCCATGTTGTGTTCTGTCGTGTTCGTCGAGGGCGCGATGCGGGACACCCGGGACTCTCGGGGATTTTCGGGACAGGTTGGGGTCTGGCGGCTTATGGTGGGGTTGGCTGGGCGCGAGGCGGGATACCCGGGATCACCGGGACAGCTTGGGGTCTGGCGGCCGCGGTATGCAAGGTTGGGGTTGGCTGAGGGGCCTGTTCTCGAAATCTAACAACCCTAACCTGTCGCGGGGTGAACAACGAAAACAAACAAACAATACAATCAACGTGCGAAAGGTAGCCACGTGAGGCCTCTCTCCGGGCGCTGAGGCGGCGCTATTTGGGGCCTCTCACGCCTGCTGGGTTCCCGTGGTTCCTTCTTTGACCCCTCTGCATCACCTCTCGTGCCACCCCTAGATCGGCAACACCCCAACATACTTATACTATATGTGCGTCGCCCCCCCCAGGGGCGACGCGCGCACCGAGAAATCTTATAGTATATGCGTCGTGGCGGGCGCTTTCTGGCCACACCGCTCGGGAAACGATATACTACAAGATGGGTATACTATACGTTCGGGTCGGACGCGCGCCTCCAAGGAGGACATATAGTATTAGTATGTCCATGTGCGTCCCACTAGAGATCCTGGGCTGTTTGTTGGCTAGTCTGTTCCTTCCCCCGGTGTGCAGTCCTTTGATGGGCCTGTTTTCCACCACCTCCACTATAAGTTGGAGGGGGGGAAGAGGTGGAGGAGGAGGAGGAGGAGGAGGAGGAGGAGGAGCCCCTCCCCCTCCAACTTATGGTGGTGGTGGTGGAAAACGTGCCCATCAGTCCTTGGCCCTCATGGCGCTCTCGGTCCGACGGCTCGCCGCGGCCTCGGAGCCCTCCCGGGGATGTCGGGCCTCCGGGCCCGATGGCCGACTGCCTTTCTTGGGGCCATGGGGCCTCTCCTCCCCCCCCCTCCCCTCCCCCTCCCCCCCCCCCCTCCCCCCTCCCCCTCCCCCTCCCCCTCCCCCTCCTCCCTCCCCCCTCCCCCCCCTCCCCCCTCCCCCTCCCCGGGCCACGCGCAGAAGGGGATATGGGGGAGGGGGGAGGGCTTCTTAGAAGCACCCCTGCTCCTTAGAAGGGGCGGGCCTTCTTTGTAGATGTAAGGCCGGCGCCTTCTAAGAAGCAGCCTCCTTCTAAGAAGCCCTCCCCCCTCCTCCCACCCCGTTGTGCGCGCCGCTAACTCTGGGCCTGTTTCGGGCCAGTGTCAGACGGGTGTTAGAGCGTCTGCGTTGCGTTGTTAGCCCTGCGAGAGGCAACAGCGGCAGAAACGAAGAGTGCGTGTGAAGGCAGCAGGGAAGAGAAGGAGCAGCCGTCGACCAGTCATCAAAAAATGTTACACAAAATATGATCCACAGCGACGGGCCTAAAAACGCTTAAAACACGCAGCTAAACACGCAACAACATCTTAGCGTGTTTTTCATAATAATTGTTTTTTTCGCGTGTCGCTTGTCAAGACAACACGATGCAAAACGGACAGGAAAAAACAACCAAACACCCAGTTTGCAATAAGAGCCAAGCTTGTGGGGCCACGAAGCGTATGATGGGTGTACCTGAACGGGGTGGCGCCCACATGCGGGCGGCGCCAGTGGGACCTTAGGTGGAGCTCCCTATGGGGCCACGAATCGTGTGAGGGGTGTGCCGGAACCAGGTGGTGCCCACATGCGGGCGGCGCTCCCTTATGGGGCCACGGAATGTGTGAGGGGTGTGCCGGAACCAGGTGGCGCCCACACGCGGGCGGCGCCTGTCAGACCCTAGGTGGAGCTCCCTATGAGGCTACGAAACGTGTGAGTGGTGAACCGTAACGGGAGTGGTGACGATGGTGGTGATGATTACGGCCATGATGATGATGATGATGATGATGATGATGATGACGATGATGATGCTGATGCTGATGCTGATGATGATGATGATGATGATGTTGATGTTGATGTTGATGTTGATGCTGATGATGATGATGATGGTGGTGATGATGATGATGATGCTGATGCTGATGGTGATGTTGATGTTGATGCTGATGATGATGACGACGATGATGATGACGATGATGATGATGGTGATACTAATTGTGATGATGATGGTGATGATCATGATAAATGATGAAATGATAAAATGATGAAATGATGAGGAGGATGAGGATGAGGATGAGGATGAGGATGAGGGCACGAAACGTGTGAGGGGTGTGCCGGAATGAGTGCGGTGGGCGCGTGCGAACGCTGGCATCTAGGCCTTCGGTGGAGCTCCCTGTGGGGCCACGAAACATGTGAGGGGTGTGCCAAAGTGAGGCAGGATGGGAGGAGGGTGGGGGGCGGAGGAGGAGGGGGAGGAGGAAGTAGGAGTGAGACGAGGGGTGCTGTCTCTTCAAAATGAGGACCCAACATTACAGGATGGTTGGGAATTGCTGAAGTCCGGCCAGACAGACCTTGGCATTCTGCCACGCCTCAACTTGCACAAGGCACGGTGGCGGACTTTCGGTCGTGGCCCTGGGAGCGCGTGTCGTGCACCCAGCCACCGCAGCTGGTGCACACCGTGTAGGTCTGCCGCAGCCTCGTCGGTTCGTCGTGGTCTTGCTGGCGCAAACGAGCCTCCTCACGCTTGTGCGAAAACGAGCCTTCGCACGCTGGGCGAACAGGCAGGTTGCGAATGCTGCCGCGGATCAGCGATACCCGTTTGCTGTCGTCCAACATGGTCACGGATGGGAGGAGGCGGAGGAGGAGGATGGGGAGGTGGAGGAGAAGGAGGAGGGGGAGTAGGACCAGGAGTGAGAGGAGGGTGGGGGTGGAGCAGGATCAGGAACGCTTGACATGCCAGGGTTGGGGCACCGTGGGGCCCGTGTTCGCTTGACGGAGTCAAGGGTGTGTTGGCGTGCCTCCTTTGGGGGGCTCGTCGGGCGCCCGGGACGACGTCGGCACTAGTTGGCACCGTGTGCCGCGACCGATGTGAGACATCCAGCAGTGTGGGACCCGTGGGGGCTCGCGTGCCCGGACTCCGCGGCGTGGCGAGGGGGCAGGATCGCATGCTTTCTGTACGTATTGGCCTCTTAGGGTGCCGATTCGGGCCCCGGGGACCCTCAACAGCGGGTTTGCGGCGAAGCAGCTAGCTTCGAGGTGGGTCGAGAATTCCCGGGTCCGCGCTGCGCTGACAACAAACGAGAACTCCAACCGCGTGAGCATATTTTGGATGGGAGGTGAAAGTCTGAGAAAGGAGAGTGAGTCAACGGAAGAGGGGCATGAGGAAGTATGATCAGGGGGAGAGGAGGAGGGGGGAGGGGGAAAGAGCAGCACAGGGACGCACCGTCGACGCGAGGAGTGAGCAGGCAGGGAACGAGCATGTTTTCACGAAGTTGCAACGCCCACTGCCTGGAGGGAGCGGCCGGAAAAGAGGAGGAGGAAGAGGAGAAGAGGGGACGAAGGAAGAGGAAGAAGAGGGGGCGGGAAGGATGCACGAGGAGTGGCAGATGCAGGATGATGGAGTGGAAGCAGCAGCAGCAAGAGCGGCGGGGAGTGAGAGCTTGTCGGGCCGTGTTCACGCGTAGCGTTGTGGATCGCCCACTTGTGATCCGTGCGTCGGCTCGAATTCGAACTTTTCGGTGGCAGCCCTTAGGAGGTGAACCCCACCTGCGATTTCACTGTGGATCGTCGCCTTGTGAGGGCAGGAGGTCCACCGCTCCTTCATCGTCGCGATGGTAGCGGCTAAAATTAAATCCCTTCCGTAGGAACACTTAGGGAGGGCCCTCCACTAGTGAAATTGTGAGTTTACCATTGGTCGCAGCACTGACAGAGCAGGAAGGCCATTCAGAGAGTGATGTTGAAGGTGTTGTGAAGGCGAGGGTGATTGATTACAGGGAGTGATGCAAAGAGCAGGCAGCAGCAAGTGGGAGAGAGAGAGAGAGAGAGAACGCACACTGAGAGACAAACGGGAGAGAGGGAGACTTGCAGAGAGTGTGAGGAAGAGGGAGAGAACGAGAGGAAGAGAGAGTGATAGAGAGAGAGAGAGAGAGAGAACGATAGGGAACGATAAAGGTAAACCATGTAAGAGACGAGAAGGAGGGCCTGGAGGACCAGGAAGTTAATCAGGAGGAGGAGGAGGAGGAGAAGGAGGATGGGCCCACAGTGTGTTCAGATGGTTTCATGACCTCCACAAAAGATGCGGTGGGACTCCAAAGTAATTATGCCATAGGTCTAAGTGCCCAGGGACCTTATCTGCATGCTCACAGCCCCAGAAGGGCCTGCGGACATTTCAGAGCGGGTCAAGAGTTTTTGCTTCGACGAAGCAAGGTGTTACAACGAAGGTGATCGTAGAGTTGTGAAGCGAAATATAGTTGCCTTTATGAAGCACCAGGGCCATGCAGAAACGGAAGCAAGCGAAGCCGACATCATTCGCGAAGTCGATGCCATGGTCCAGTCTGATGTGCCGATACTCTTTGAAGCATCCCTCGGGCGCGTTGGCATCCCATACCATCTTGTTGCGCTCGTCTCGTTGCCGTACTGCTTGCAGGCAATCGACTACGCATGTGCAGCCGTCCGCGACGGTACGCCTGTCAGGTCGTTGTGTATATTCATGGTGTATCAGATGACCAATGGTTTAGCTGCGGCCCCGGTCTGTCTCGCCCTCTCGACCACACTTGCCAGCAGGCTGGTGCAAGATGACCGTATCGGGCACACCCGAAGCATATGTGTTGTGGCAATAGCTGCTGTCGCGGTTCTCGGTGGAAGCTTCTGCCTTTTGAACATAGTGGTGAAGTGGGCAATCGAAGGAGGCCACTTGGAGTTGGGCGTCTTCATTGCCACACTATGCTGCTATTACTTGGTCGCTCTGTTTTTTTACCAGCCACCCGAATCCAATGTGCACCGTCGCCGTCTGAAAGACGAGTAATCATCGTCCCGTGTCAACGACCACGTTCAAGCAAGTCCACTGGCAGCACATTGACAAAGCAGTTGGGGCTGCCGGGGAAGGTCGGGTGAGAGAGTGCAGGCAATATATTACTGTTGTGGTGCCCGTTATTCTTATTCGAATTCGATGATTGCTGGAGCGTCCACAAAGTTTTGGACCAGCACGGCTCTAGGTTGAAGCCCTGGAACTGGAACGGCCAGTTCGCGCGGTGTTCCAACATACTTTGACCGAGTTGTGGTAACTGGTGGTCCCCGTAGTTTTAGCGCCTCGATTTTGTAACACATGCGGTTGAGTAGCGTCTCATGTATCCGCGGGGCGACTGAATGAAATGGTTCTTGTATTCGCATTCGGAAAAATCGCGTGATTGGAAGGCCTCTGGCCTGTGCCGCCGATCCGGGAAGCTCCAGCACGCTCCGTGCGGACCCGTCGCCCTGTTTATGGGTGGTGAGCTTTACCTCGAGGAGGCAGGCGGGAGGAGGAGGGAGGAGGAGGAGTCGAGGAGGAGGAGGAGGAGGAGGAGGAGGAGGAGTCGAGGAGGAGGAGAAGAGGAAGGAGGGTGTTGGCAATATGGTGTGCTGAATGGAATGATTGCGTCGTGTCCGTCTGTCGAGCTTGATGGCGGGCTAGTTCCCTGACGGCTTGGCTCGTTGGTGGGTCATTGCTGGGCTTGGGAGCCATGGCCCCGTCTCCAGACCCGCTGGCCCCGGCCCCAGCCGCGTTGGCCCGAGCCTTGGCTCCGGCCCCAGCCGCGGCCCAGGCCCCAGTTTCGGCTTTGGCCCCCAGCTCTGCCAGCCCCAGCCCTTGCCCCAGACCGGGATGCGATCTCTGGCATCTTGGACCGATCGTTCTGCGATTCGGTGCCCTCTTGGACCGTCTTGGGAACCTCTTGGGCTGTCTTGGGTTTTTTGGGGGCCCCCAGGACCCCCCAGGGGAGCATGATATTCTGACCCAGGACCCCTCCCTCCAACCCCCCTCCACCACCCCGGAACATCACTCCCCTGGGGGGGAAAGAATCAAAGGGAAGGGGCTTCTCTTCGTGTCAACTACGACGCTGCTCAAATTCGGTGTGGTCTTGCTTTGGCTGGCGCGCTTGAGATTTCGGTTCGGTTTCGCAATGGCTGGCGCGCTGGAGGAGGAGGAGGAGGACCCAGTGACTGCGACGACGCACGCCGAAGATTCGGCGGAGTTGTTCCCCAGCATTTGTCGGCGTGGGGCGGAGGACCGCCCAGCCGTTGTCGGGAGCGCCAGTCCGATCCCCGCCCGCGATGTGTTGAGCGGTTATGGAGGCCTGGGCTGACGGGAAATAATATCGGCGAGAGTTGTTTCTCTTTTTTTTCCTGCCTTTGCGGGCTCACGCCAGGTCCCAGGACGGTGAAAATAGCGGCTCTGCAGGACGAGACGTCGGTCCCGGGTAATGGGTTGAGCCTTTGTGGTGAATTATTCCGATGGTAGAACCCCACATGAGAATCTATTTAGCTTATCCCTCGCCCTTTTCTTCTTCGACTGGCGGAGGCCTTCCTTCCGCCCTTTGCATCCTCCTCCGCATCCTCGTCCTTCTCATCCTTCTCCTCCTCCTGTTCATTCTCGTCCTACTCGTTGCATTCCTTATTCTTTTGCTCTTCTGCCTCCTCCTTCTCATCCTCTTCCTCTTTGTCATCCGCCTCCTCCACTCCCTCCCCCTCCTCGTATTCGTCCTCCTTTTCGTCTTTTTCTTCCTCCTCCATCACCTCCCCTCCTTCTCCCCCTCTTCATCTCCGCCCCACCTTTTCTCCTCGTGCACTTCTCCTTCCTCCTGGCAGGAGCGCGCGCGTCGGTTTTCCTCGGCGCCGTCGCCGCCTCGGCCAGCACGGGCGCATCTCTAATGGCCGCATCGCGCAGCCGTTGGGACAACCCCGCGGGCCAAATCGTCGGGACAACCCCGCGAGCCGCTGGCGCGCGAGACCAAGCCGTTGGGACAACCCCGCTGGCTTCGAGTGGGGTGCAGCCGCGCTCGGGCGAGAGGCAGCACGAAGCCCAGCTCTGCCGCGAGCTGCTCCGCCTCTGCCTTGGAGCTCGTCGCTATCTCGTCGAGTTTCTCGACGCCGGCGGCCCTCGCTCCATATATTCGCGCGAGAGCGGCCGCAGGACCAGCATGTCCCGCAAGCGCGTGGCGCGGGAAACCATGACGTAGACGTGCAGCCATCACTGGTCGTCCGACATGCCCGTGCGGCCAGCGTCCTCGTCCGTCGCGCAATCAATGGTGACGCCCTTTCCGCAGCGTCTGGCCCTGCGACGGCGTGGAGGCGAGGTAGGACGCATGCGTCATGGCGAACCCCGAGCGGCGCACGGCGTGCGGCCCCGAGCTGTGCCACGTGAGCTTCTCGCTGGGCCTGAACATCAGCAAGCTCCGCGCCTCGGCCTCGCCGTCGTCGTCGGCGCCTTCGGCTCTCGGCGCTCTGTCGCAACAGTTCGGCGATATCATGTTAGATCGGAGCCTCCTTGAAACCGTGCACCTGCAGCCAGATCCCTTGCGGTAAGAAGCGGGGGCGCAACAACTGGCCTGGCGTGCGCTCCTCGTGCCGCTGCTCGTCCTCGGGATGGAGCCCGAGGGACACGATGGTGGCCGGTTGCTCCCGCACGAGTCCCAACTCCTTGTTAAACTTCTCCTGCGCTCCAGTGAATCGAACCTTCATGCCGACGTGGGCCGGTAAGACGCCGTGGATGTCCCCAGTTTTGTGCATCTTCGGGACGTTCACGAGGCACCGACCCGCCTCGGGATCGCCCTGAATCGTGTTGCAGTCGTCCACGGCGTGCAGGAAAACGAGGGGCACGCCCAGACGCTACAACTCGCGACGAGCGCGCGTGTTGATCCGGCTCGCAACTCACTCACAGAAGAGGTTCCCGCCTCGTACTTCCCAAATATTCAGGCTTCGGGAACCAAAAAGTGACTACAATTCTTGACGCTTCGCGTATCCCCACCAGCCCATCCAGAAACGATCAGCAGGGGAGTCGGTAATTCAGGGGCGGCAGGACGCATGCAATTGCGCAGCCGTTTCCGGGAAAACAGGGATCATAAAGAGCTTCCCGCATTGACGCTTGCGCAGGAGATCGGTGCAAGCTACGATGATGCTTCGATGAGGGGTGAGGGGTGTTTCGGTGACTCGTAATGGCTGCTGCACTGATTTGTATGTTAATCCGGCGAAGCGATACGACGACTCCAAGTCACACGAGGACCGATGTTCACTGGCACGTGGCACGCTTTCGCCAAGTGGCAGTCCGTGCCCGGCAGCAAGGGCGCTCTCGACCCGCTTCGGCACGACCCGCAAACCTGCCACCTCTTCCTGGAATCCTTCCGCAGCCACAAGTGCGACGTACGGGTCCTCAGCAACGCGTTGGGCCTCGACGTCGATTGGACCCGGCCGTGGCAGCTGCACCTGGGTCGGTGGCGCCCTGCTCACGTGGCACTTTCCCCCCAAATCGGCTGACACCCATCTCTCTCACATGGCCCTCTTTCCACACTTCCCACCTGCGGTGGCCCCGGTCCAGCGGCATCGTCCCCGCGCCTGGCGGGCACCTTTTCCCCCCCATGTCCACTCTTGCAACGCGCACTGTTGGGTTCTCTGCGGCCACCGCCGCCACCGGGCCCACTGGCCTTGCCCCTCTCCCTTCCTCCTTGTATTTACCTTTTCCACACTTCATACCTTCGGTGGCCCCGCTCAGGTGGCGTCGTTCCCTCCCACCTGGCGGGCACCTTCCCCCCATCAAGTGCACCACTCTTGCAACGCTCTGTTGGGTCCTGTGCGGTCACTGCCGCCACCTGGCCCACCGGCGGGTCCTGGGGAAGAGGGATTCCTGTACAAGTGGTCCATCCTTTGACAGGTCACTGCCTTTCCCCCCTCAAGTTCACAACTCTTGCTACGCACACTGTTGGGTTCACTGAGGTCACCGTCGCCACAAGGCCCACTGGCGTTGCCCCTCTCCCCTCCTCTTTTTATTTACCTGACTTGCAGCTATCGGCTGCGCCTCTCCTCCCCCTACTCCACGCACGCTGTTGTGGGTACCGCACCACTCGGCTTCCCCCCATCGTGGCAACGTTCACGTGCAGGTTCCGAGGTGGTCACCCCTATCCCAGCGGCGGGGTGCGATCACCCGCTGGCACCGGTGGGCGGGCCTGGGGAGGCATGGTTCCTGTACAAGCGGTCCATCCTTTGGCAGGTCACAGCCTTCCCATGTCAGGCCCGTCCCTCTAGCCCCCGGCTTCGCTTGCGACATCTCCCCCTTCCTCTGGACGGACTTGTGCACGCGTACGCCAACGACGCCAACGACCGTTATCACGGTGCACGGCGCACGAGGTCCACGGCAGCCCAGCGGTTCTTCCACGGGCAGGTCCGCAGGCCTCCTGCTGGGTGGTGCAGCGGTGGTACCACGCAGCGTTTCCCCCCATCCACAGTGGCAAGGAGGTTGCAGGCTGGGACTCTGACGACAAGGCTGCCGGCCGACTCCTGTCAAGGTTCGACGCACCTGTTTCGAGCACCACAGGTGCTCTGTGAGTGAGGTTTCCCTCCTTCCCCCTCCCCTCGTCGCCTCCTGCGCCTCTGTCTCTCCCTCTGCTCCCCCTCGCCGCGTTTGGCGGTGCCTTTCCTCGGGCTCTGTGCTGCCCGCACAGCGTTCCCTTTCTCGCAGGCTTGGTTTGTGGGGGCTGGCGCCACTCTGCGACCCTCCGCCGGCTTTACGGTTTGCTGCCGTCTTCCGTTCCCGGGTAGGCTCTAATGAGGTTCATTTTGTCGTTCGCACGTGCATTGCGGCGTTGGCCTATGTGCCTCCGTTGCCATGTCGAGATTGACCCGCTCTTTGGAGTCGTCCTTTGAGCCGCAGATCAAGAAAGTATCTCCACCAGTCCATCCAGAAACGATCAGCAGGGGAGTCGGTAATTCAGGGGCGGCAGGACGCATGCAGTTGCGCAGCCGTTTCCGGGAAAACAGGGATCACAAAGAGCTTCCCGCATTGACGCTTACGCAGGAAATCGGTGCAAACTACGATGGTGCTTCGATGAGGGGTGAGGGGTGTTTCGGTGACTCGTAATGGCTGCTGCACTGATTTGTATGTTAAACTCGCGTGCGTTTCGAAACTTGGAGCCATCTTGGGGCTCTCTTGGGGTTCTCTTGGGGCCCTCTTGGGGCCCTCCTGGAGCTCTTTCGGGGTTCCCTGGATGTCCCCCTGGGGCCTTGCTGGAGCCTTCTTGGGGCTCTTTTGGGGCGTCTTGGGGCCCTCGTGGGGCTCGTCTTTTGGAGGATGTGGGGGCCTTTTGGGGCTCTTCTGGGATTCCTTAGGGGCCTCTTGGGGCCGTCTTGGGCCCTTTTCGCTAAAAAAGAGAGGGGGTCTCATCCCCATCGCCCTTCCGGAGGCTCACTAATGCCGTCTTGGGCCCTTTTGGGCCGCTCTTGAACCGCTCTTGGGTGTTTTGGGGGCCGTCTTAGGGGCCCTCTTGGGCCCCTCGTGGGACTATCTTGGGCCGCCTTGGGGCCATCTTGATGCCTCAAGAGCCCCATCGGGGGCGACAAAGCGAAAAGGCAAACAATTTTGAAGGATGTTGGCCTTGTGGGGGAGTCTTCGGAGGGTTCGGAGGGCACTTGAAACCGTCTTGGGGCCGTCTTGAGGCCTCTTGGATGCGTGTCGGAGGCGATCTTGAGCCATCAACCGCTTTCCTGGGCCATCTTGGAGGCCATATCGCACTCTCGGAAGCCCTCTTGGAGCCATCTTGGGCCGAAAAGGGCCCCCTGACACCTCGCGGGGGTGCCCGTCCAGACGAAGGGGGGGGGGGGGGGAGGTAAACCTCCCGAGCAGGGAAAGGAGGGAGGTTGGAAAAGGACACGCTCTAGACCACCTGCGCCCAGAGGGCTGCTGGGATTACAGGGTTCTGGTGGCCCGCTCGGATTAATAACGTGATCTGCGGGCCACATAGGGAAGAGGGTTCCGACTAGGACTTCCTCGCAGTCCATTCACAGACGAGGCTCCCGCCTGACACTTCCCCCGGATGCAGGCCCCACGAACCCAACATCGACGACAGTTACAGGGTTCCGGTGACAAGCATGATTACTAACGCGATCTGCACACCCCATGGGGAGGAGGCTCCCGCCAGACACGTCCCCGCAATTCACTCACAGACGAGGCTCCCACTCGATAGTTCCTCCATGTTCAAACCGCAGGAGCCCAAACGTGACGACAGCTACAGGGTTCCGATGACCCTCTCGGGTTCACAACATGAACTGCGGGCCCCATATGGAGGGAACTCCCGCCTAAGACTTCCTCGCGGTTCACTCACAGTCGGGGTTCCCGCCTGATAGTTCCGCAAAGCTCAAGCTTGAAGAGGCCAATTCGTGACGACAGGCACAAGAGTCCGAAGACCCGTTCGGATTCATAACATGAGCTGCGGGCCCCTTCGGGAAGGTGCCCTCGCCTGAGACTTCCTCGCAGTTCACTCACAGACGAGGCTCCCGCCTGAGACCTCCGCCGTACTCAGGCTTGAAGAGGCCAAAAGTGATGACTGGTACAGGGATTTCGATGACCCGTTCGGATTACTCGCATGAGCTGCGGGCCCCATATTGGGGGGGGCTCCCACCTGAGACTTCCTCGCGATTCGCTCACAGACGAGGCTCCCTCCTGAGACTTCCGCCATGCGCAGGCCTCAGGGGCCCCAAAGTGAAGACAGTTACAGGATTCCGATGACCCGCTCGGATTGCTAACGTGAGCTGCGGGCCCCATAGGGAGGGTGTTCCCGCCTGAGATTTCCTCGCAGTTCACTCATAGACGAGGCTCCCGCCTGAGACTTCCGCCATATCCGAGCTGGAAGAGGCCAAAAGTGGCGACAGGCACAAGAGTCCGATGACCCGTTCGGATTCATAACATGAGCTGCGGGCCCCATAGGGAGGGGGCTCCTGAGACTTCCTCGCAGTTTACTCACAGACGAGGCTCCCGCCTATGACTTCCGCCATATTCAAGCTTGCAGAGGCCAATTCGTGACGACAGGCACAAGAGTCCGATGACCCGTTCGGATTCATAACATGAGTTGAGGGCCCCATAAGGAGGGGGCTTCCGCCTGAGACTTCCTCGCAATTCACCTACAGACGAAGCTTCCGCCTGAGATGAGTGAGTGAGTGAATCAGTGAGTGTTTGAGAGGAGATGATAACAATAATAATACGAATAATACTATTAATAACACTAATAATAATAACACTAATAAAAATAATAATAATTATATGAATAATAATATTAATAATAATTTTAATAATACTACTACTAATAATAATAATGATGATGCTGATGATGATGATGGTGGTGGTGGTGGTGATGATGATGATGATGACAGTGATGATGATGATGATGATGAGGATGATGATGATGATGATGATGATGATGATGACGGTTGTGATGATGATGATGATGCTGGTGCTGATGATGATGATGATGATGATGATGATGATGATGATGATGATGATGGTGATGATGATGATGATGATGATGATGATGATGATGATGATGATGAGGATGTAAGTGTGAGTGTGCGTGTGAGTGAGTGGGCGGGTACGTTGGTGAGTGAGTGGGTGAGTGCGTGAGTGGACGATTATTATGAGTGCGTGTGTGTGTGAGTGGGTGAGAGGGTGAGTGACTGAGTGAGTGTTCGAAGGGAGAAGAGGGAGAGAGAGAGAGAGAGAGAGAGGGGGGGAGGATTAGGAGGAGAGATCCTGCGCGGAGGGTGTGCAGAGAAAACAAGAACACCGTTGTGGATGCGGGGAAACATAGGAATGGGTTGAGCCGCTGGGGTGAAAAATCATGACGTGGGTCTGGGGTGCGGGATGGCCCATGGGGCACCCGCCCGCCCAGTGATTTCGGACTTCGCTCAGACCGAGGAGGCCACGTCCAACGATGGCCGAAGTGGCGTCGAGCCTGGAGTCCGGAGCGGGAAACTTTGGCGGCCGCCCCTTCATGTCTTCAAGCCGAAGTGTCTTGCGAAACCTACTTTGGCTTTGGCAAACATCGAAAAACACTAGCAAACCAGACAACGTAATTTCTCAAGGTCATGTGTCTGATGCAGTTTGTTGTCCAGTTCGAGCATGCTCGGTCTTTCTAACATGATACCCCCGTTGCAGCATCGGCTCCATTTCTGCAAGCTCGGTTCTTCAAGATGGCGCCCCCGCTGCAGCATTGTTTTCGTTTCTGTGGTCTCGGTCCTTCTCAATGGTGCTCCCGCTGCAGCGTTGGACTCGGTTCTAGTTTTCGGTTCTAGTTTTCGGTGCTCCGTTTCGACTATTGCCTCGTTTCAGTGTCCGTGTTTTTCTCACAGGTGTTCTCGTTGCATGTGTGAGATACCATTTCCGTTATGCGATGACGCTGTGCGATGTTCAGCTTTGTTTTGCAGTGTTGTGGTATGCGTTGTTTGGCTATGGGACGCCGTGCCTTGCTATCCAATCCTGTGGCATGCAGTGTTTGGTTACGCAATGCCACGCCGAGTTATGCCATGCTACGGTCAGCCGTGCTCTCCTGCGCCATGCTCTGACCTGCTATGTTATGATGGTGTTACCTTTTGTGGGGGGGCCAAAGTCTTCTTCGACACCCAGTTATGCGAACAGAGATGTGCTCCGCGCAATGGTCAGGGATGGGAGCGAGGGGTAGAGAATAATGAATGACGCGAGCGCACCTAATTTGTCATCTGTCCTCTCTCACATCTCCTTCTTCTTCCTCCTCCTGCCTGTCCCCCTCCTCCTTCTCCCCCCCCCCCCTCGTCCTCCTGCTCCTCCTCCTGCTGCTCCTCCTCCTCCTTCTCTTTTTTGCCTCTGCGGCCCTCGCCGCGGGCGAAGGCCGGTCGAAGTCGAGGAATTCGATCCCGCATAAATTGCCCTCATCCTTCTCCTTTTCCTCTTCCCCTTCCTCCTCCTCCTCCTCCTCCTCACCATTCCCTCCTCCCCCTCCTCCTTCCTCATCCTCCTCCTCCCTCCTCTTTCTTCCTCCTTCCTCCTCCTTCCGCCTTCCTCCTCTTTCCTCCTTCCTCCTCCTTCCTCCTCCTTCTCCTCCTCCTTCTCCCCCTTTCCTCTCCATTCCCTCCTCCTTTCTCTTTCCTCCTCCTCCTCCTCTTCCTCCTCCTCCTCCTCTCCATTCCAAGACCACTGCGGCCAGGCATGGGCTACCTCACTCCGGCCTGGGACCCCAGCTACCCGATGTACGCGCCAGGGCCAGAGCGGTAAGCTCTCTGGGGATGGGGCCTGGCGGCGCACACGGGCGCGAGGGCCTCTGTGTACATACTGTAGTCTGAGGGTGGGGGAGGCTGGCAGCGGTGCTCGCAATGAGAGGAGGGTTCCCGAATGGACACCGACTTTCCCGGAGGGAGGAGGAGGGAGGAGGAGAGACAAGGACGGAGAGGTGACCAAGAGGAGGTGGGGTAGAAGGGAAGGAGAATGGACGGCCGACGAGGAGAAGAAGGACGAGAAGTTGCATGATGACGAGCAGTGGGAGGGACAGGATGCGGAGGACGAGGGAGAGGAGCAGGAGGAGGAGGAGGATGAGGAAGAGGAGGAGGACGAGGAGGAGGAGGAGGGAGATAAGGAGGAGGGGGAGGAGAAGGAGAGGATAAGCAGTATGACGAGAATGAAGTGGTGCAGCAGCAAAAGCACGGACGTGGGCAGGATCACAGCAGGAGCGGGGACATGATTGGAATGAGGGAGTTTGATATCCAAGGGGCTCCTGAAACCGCGATCGATGAGGAAGAGAGGAAGGGAGAAGGAGGAGGATGAGGAGGAGGAGGAAGTGGAGGAGGACGAGGAGGAAGCGGGAGGGGATGAACATGAGGAGGAGGAGGAGGAGGAGGAGGAGGAGGAGGAGGAGGAGGAGGAGGTGGAGGTGGAGGAGGAGGAGGAGGAGGAAGGAAGGAGTAGGGGAGGGGAGGAAGAAACTGGGTTGGATTTGTCACCAGTGCTACTCAGCTGCCTGCGGCAAGTCCCTCCACCGGGCCAGTCTAGCAGTCTCTGTGGTAGTTGTTCGAATCGATGAGGACGACGACGATGATGATGACGATCACGATTCGATGATGCAGAAGGTAAGAAGATAATGAGGAGGACTGTGGCGGACGATGGGGATGGGCAACATGATGCTGAGGGTGATGATGATGAGGATAATGAAGAGGCCGATGATGGTGATGATGATGGTCGTGGTGATGCTGGTGACGATGATGATGGTGATGACGACAGCGACGATGGTGATAATGATGCTGATGATACTGATGATGTTGCTGATGATAATGGTGGTGCTGATGATGCTGATGATGGTGATGGCGATGATGCTGATGATGATGAGGAGGAGAAGGAGGAAGATGCGGAGGAGGATCGGATGATGGTGATGGTGGTGATGGTGATGGTGATGGTGATGGTGGTAGTGGTGATGGTGATGGTGATGGTGATGATGGTGATGATGGTGATGGTGATGATGATCGTGATGGCGGTGGCGATGGTGATGGTGATTGTGATCGTGATGGTGATGGTGGTGATGATGGTGGTGCTTGTGATGATGCTGATGATGGAGGATGAGGGTTATGATGAGGGAAAGAGGGAGGAGGAGGAGGAGGAGGAGGAGGAGGAGGAGGAGGAGGAGGAGGAGGAGGAGGAGGAGGAGGAAAGAGGAGGACGAGGAGGAGGAGGAGGAGGAGGAGCGCAGTCACTTGTAACACGTTCCGTCTTCAATTCTCGAGAAGCCCTCATGAACCTTGATCGGACCGTCTTGGGGCTGACCTGGGCTCCTGCGGGGCAGCCTTTGGTGTCCCTTGGGGCCGTCTAGGGGCCTCCTTGGGCCGTCTCGGGGCCATCCTAGGCCGTCTTGGTTGCGGCTGTCTTGGGCCGTCTGGGGCTCTTTTAGCCGTATGGATGCTGTCTTGGGGCCGTCTTGGGGCCATCTTGGCGCCGTCTTGGGCCGTCGAGGGGCCCTCTGAGGCCGCATTGACTCTCTCCGGAAGCCCACTACAGCCAGCTTGGGTTCGTATTGGAGACATTTTGGGCCGCCGCCGCCGGGAAGCCAAGCATCCAGAGGGACACGCAGGCAGAAGAGCGCGCTGTTGGCACCTCTTCGACAAACCGTATGCCCAGAATCGTTCCCGAAAGTTAATGGTTGCGCACAGAGAAGAGGAGGAAGAGGAGGAAGAGAAGAGGAGGAAGAGGAGGGAGGAGGAGGAGGGAGGAGGAGGAGGAGGAGGGAGGAGGAGGAGGACGAGGAGGAGGAGGAGGAGGAGGAGGAGGAGGAGGAGGAGGAGGAGGAAGAGGAGGAAGAAGAGGAGGAAGAGGATGGCGACACATATTGGCTCAGTCGGTGTACCTCTTTGCCCCGCTGCTGCCGCGGCCGGCCGCGCTTCCGGCGGGCGGTGAAAGTCTTCGGGCCCCCATCGGTGTTGCAGAGCACCCGCCGGACGAGGGACGCCCTCCGAACCTTCTCCGAATCCTCTCAAAACTTCCTCCTCCTCCTCCTCCTCCTCCTCCTCCCCTCCTCCCCCTCCTCCTCCTCCTCCTCCTCCTCCCTCCTCCTCCTCCTCCTCTCCTCCTCCCCTCCTCCTCCCCTCCTCCCTCCGCAGCGATCTTCTTGTATAATTATTTTGTCTTGAAAGCAACTTATCGGAAAGTATCGTTGAGCCAGCTCGTTGGAAAACGTCGTCGTTGCTCACGGTGGACGAACAAGAACATGGGATACCCAGCGGACGCCTGGCACACGTCGCGTGGAAAGCGTTTAATATGGTGCGGTCGGCTTTGAGCAGCCATAGCGAAGCCAGAGAATCTAAGAGCTTGCTGAGAACGCAGGCGTCGTATATTGCGCATCTGCGCTTCCACCCGATTGATGAGTGTGACCAGATCTTCGACAACGCATTGAATGCCCTAGTGGCTTCCCCCAATCTTCGTGACAAATCTGCTGTTGTTCTTGCGTCGCACGTGATGAGGCCACTCAAATACAATGCATCTCGAACTGTTCCGATGTCCCCCCCCATCCTGCTGGCATATCACAGAATTCGTGTTAATCTGCATTTGTATTGTCTCCCCCCAGTTGAGCTCCAAACCATATTTTGCGCCTTCGCCGACGATCCCGTTCAGCATGTTCTGAAGGTTGCTGCTGCTCTGCGAGGCCAATAAGGTGTCATCAGCATCCAATATATCCCTCGTCGCAATGTACTCGGGATCAGGATCGCATTGAATTTCATCCAGAGCGTCGTGAAGCATAACGGTTTGCATTGCAACGAAATGGTACGGTGACAGGGGGCAGCCCTGAGCAATCCCAGCATCTCTGTTCTCTTTCTGTGGAGTTCCCTGTGTGGTCCGCGATGGTGAAATAGCGAGCAGGATCAACAGCCCCAGTCATCACAACCATATCCGCGGGAAGTCAAAAGCGACCCCGAATTTCACACATGCAAGTTGGCTTCAGTCGATCAAACGCCGTAGCCCAGTCAAGCATAACGAACAGCATACCCCCGTTGTTGTTGGCATGCACAGCATTAACCATGCGCCTGACGAGCATAAGAGCGTCGGACGTGCTCCGTCGTGGTCCGAAACCGCGTTGGGGAACCCGCGTTCTTGACGCAGCGTTTCCATCCAACTATATTTGGTACATCATTGAGGCTAAGATGTTGTATCCCACCGCTAACAAAGATATTGGCCGATACTTTGCCGGTAATAATGTGTCGCTTTACTTGAAAAACAACATCACATTTGCCGTCCCCAAGAACATGGCATTGGTTTCTCTTCCCAGCATTGTTGGCACATTGACAGCAAATTCTCACGCGCATCCAGACAAGAAGCTACGACTTTCCAAAAGGCTAATGGTATACCATCTGGTCCAGGGGCTTTTCCTCGACGAAGTTTGCGCACAGCTGCAGAACATTCCGCCTGTGTGAACGTGTTCGTGTACATCGGTAGGGCATCTCCAAAACATCGCGTGCCTCGAACTTGCCATTGCACGTCCTCGAAGTAGCCAGCCAAGACATTCGCTCGATCTCCAGTGTCTGCCAAACTCCCATCTGGTCTTTTGTTGGATGCATGCTGGATGGTGCTCGGTCTTTTCAAGTACCGAACTGCGTCCCAGCCGCCGTCCTTGAGTAGCCAATCCAACCAACCAGCGCGAACATTCTTCGCAGCCTTGCGAATGCGAGCGCGCAGTTATTTCTCTTTTGTGCGGCCCCCGCGCCTGCGGGCCAAAGCGTGCTCCTCTCTTAGGTCCAGGGTGTGCTGGCTTGTCCACGCATGCTTCGCGGAAGATGACCTTGTTCATTGCTAAGTTGTTTGTTGAAATTTGTGTTGCCGACGAAGATCATAATCGCTCACAGTATTCATTGCATCCGGCCAGGCGCTGTAAGCTGTCAAGGGAGCTGATGCAACATCCGACTTGCGAGCCGGATCCCCCAAGCTGTTCGTGTTGATTTTGACTCTGCGAGGCCAAGGTTCAACGATGATCTTCAATTTCGTCTCTGTAATCACCAAATAATGCTGAGACCGAAGAACGTCGCCTTGGCTGGCCCAAATATCATCAAAATAATTTTGAACAGACTGATGGTACACGACATGGTCAATCTAATAGAACTTTGAATGCGTCGTCAGACGAATCCACACCCAAATTTCTACATGTTGTTGTCCGTTCACCTTGCTGCTCGTGGAACGTGTTCGCAATGGCGAGGTCGAAAGCAAAACAACACTCGAGCAATAGCTGCTTGTTGGTTGCATGGTTCTCGCCATGCGCACGGCGGCCTCTTGGCCAATATCGCTGCCGTCCACGGGGCAAGGAACAAAACATATCCCGGCAAGGCAACCTCACAGCGATGTGTAGGAGCATATCTGGAAGCATTCCCCTTAAGATTCAGATGAGATTCCAGTTGTAGAGTTCTGCTGTTCTCGCAGTCGCAGTCGCATTCGCGATGACAGTCGCAGTGGCAACGGCAGTCGCAGTCACAGCCTCAGCCTCAGCCTGCCTCAGCATCAGCCAGCCTCAGCCTCAGCCTCAGCCTGCCTCTCAGCCTCAGCCTCTTCAGCCTCAGCCTCAGTCTGCCTTCAGCCTCGGCCTCAGCCTCAGCCTACCTCAGCCTCAGCCTGCATCAGCCTCAGCCTCAGCCTCAGCCTGCCTCAGCATCAGCCTGCCTCAGCCTCAGCCTCAGCCTGCCTCAGCCTCAGCCATCAGCCTCAGCCTCAGTCTGCCTCAGCATCAGCCTGCCTCAGCCTCAGCCTCCGCC